GCGGCGCTGGGCCGGGCGGGCTCGGGGCGCTGCGCGGGGCCGGATGGAGCCTCTTGCCGGGCCCGGCGCGGCGCCTCCTCGGCGGGGCCGGGCGGACGGAGCGGGGGGGTCGGAGCCTTTGTGTGGAGCCGAGCGGGGCTGGTGCCGGGAGCCGGCCGGGTAAGGGGGGACCCCGCCCCGCCCCCCTCTGCGCCCCTCCCCCCGCGGGACCCCCCCGCCCCCCCTCTGTCACCCGCGGGACCCCCCCGCCCCCGTGGGACCCCCCTTCTGCCCCCCATGGGACCCCCCCTCTGTCACCCGCGGGACCCCGCCCCCATGGGAGCCCCCTGCCCCCCCGCCATTCCCCCTGCCCCCGTGGGACCCCCCCTCTGCCACCCGCCCTGCCCCCCGCGGGACCCCCCCTGCCCCCTCCCCCCGCGGGACCCCGCCCCCATGGGACCCCCCCTCTTTCCCCCTGAATGAGGGACCCCCGAATGAGGCCCCGCCCCCCTGAGACCCTCCCTCTGTCCTCCCGAATGGGGGACCCCCGCCCCTCCCCAAATGGGGGACCCCCCTTCTGCCCTCCTGTGGTCTAGGGGATCCCTGTCCCCTGTATAGGGGATCCCCCCTTCTCCTGCGCAGGGGACCTATATTGCCCCCATCCCCCTTCCCTCCCCCATCTCCCCCTTCCCTGTGTACAGGGATCCCTGTCTGGCCTGTCTTCCCCACCCCTGTATCGGGGACCCCGTCTTCCCCCTCCCTCTATAAGGGACTCGACGTTTCCGTTCCCTTCTCGGGTAGGGGATCCTCTCCCGCCATCCTCGTCCCGCTTCTGCTCCCCTTTTATGTAGGGGACACCCCCGCCCCCTGCGCAAGGGACTCCTCCGCCTCTCGCCTGGGGATCTCTCTGCACCTACCTCGCATGTGGGGCTCTCCCTCCCTGTTTGGGGGACCCCAACTCCCTGGATAGGGGACGCCTCATTTGCCCTCTCTGCCCCCTCCTAAGTTCTCCCCCTCCCCCCAGCCACCTACTGCTTTCAACCCCCCACCTATGGGCACGCCAGCCCCCAAAATCCCCTTATCCTCCAAATCCCTCCCCCCATCCCTGGTAAAGAGCCCCCCTCTCGCCCTGTCTGCCTCCTGCTGGATTGCCCCATTCCCCTGCCATGTCCCTTCCCCCCCTTTCATCCATCCCCCCCAAGCCCTGCGATGGAGAAGAGCCCCTATCCCCCCCTTCCCCCCCGACACACGTACACCAAGGGGGAGAGCCCGGGTGGCTCACCCCATCTTCCCGCTTTCCCTACTCCCTCTCTTCCCACCCCTCATGATAGAAGGCAGCCCCCCTTCATCTTTTCCCCCTCCCCCTATCTGTTCCCCCCTTTATCCTGAGGACCCCATCCCCTTTTTTGGCCTCTGGGGTATTCACTCGCTAGCAGAGGGAAGAAAAGCACATAATAAACAGGCAAACCCCAGGCTGTGCATGTGCAAAGCAGGAGAAGCAGCTGTTATAGGCAACATTAATGGGGTCTGGGGTGACCTACCCCGTTAGGTTCAGGGGTAGCATCGCATGCTCTGAGATCCAAACAGAGCAGCCCCCTTGATCTCCCATTTCCCTGATAAATTATTGATCAGGGTGGCTTTTCTTTTCCTTTTCCAAGATTCCCTATTTAAGAAAATCCCCCGGGGGCTAAGAGTCTGCAAACTGGGACACCCTCTTTCGCTGCTTCTAAACTGAAGCAACCTTGGACTCCCTGTGTCGCCTCCCCGCTCCGTATCTGGATCTTCCTCTTGTCTCCTTTGGTGTCCTGGAAAAATTGAGAACAGGCTGGCAGGGCTGAGGTTCAAAGCGTGCTGCTGCCAGCGAGACGTTTCGATACTGGTAGTCTGTCCGATTTGAAAACTGTCCAACAGCTCATAAACAAAAAGGGGGTGCAGGCTGAGCTGGAGTGGCCTGGTTGGGTCTTGCAGAGATTGGTATCACAAGTCCAGTCTTCTGTAATGATGGTCCGGAAAGACGGCGGACAATCGCAGGCTATACTACATAGAAAGGTGTTGCAAATGCCGGTGAGAGCAGAGAAATAATTCAAAGAGATTTAAAGAGTTTAGAACTTGGGGCAAGACCTGACATGAGATCCAACCTGGCAAACGAAAGTGTGTTGGGGCAGGGGGAGGATCTGGAGATACTCAGTGGGCAGAAGTAATGGCATGAAGAGACCTACAGAAGTGAGTGCACAGCCAGCGAGGTAGGAGTCTGCGATCCAGGTTGCGGATTTATAAAGATAGCTACTGAGGCTACTACAGAACTGCTAGGGAAGTCGTGCTGGGAGACAGAGACACCCTTATAGAAACAGGAGCTCAGATAGTGACTGGCAAAGTACGTTACTTTTCGTAGCAAGGGTTTTTATTTGGTCTTTTTGCACCTTTGACTTGAGCCCCTATTTGAGCCTCTCTCGTCTAGGCCAATCAAAGGGACTCCGCCGGGGGGCTACCTGGGGGTTGCTTGTTGTGTTTACTCCCTGGTTTGCTTTTTGCGGCAGGGAGCTGACAATGTTTAATAATAGCTGTAGCATTGCTCAGACACAGGAAGTGAAGGAGAGAACCTGCTCAAAGTTTTTCACATGCTTCTTAAAGTTGCAAACTTTTATTTTTTATTCCTTGTGTTGCTGCAAGATCTTAAACTAGGGTCACTCATGAACCTCAGGTGAGATACCAGACTCGCTGCACCACTAGTCTATTCTGTGGTGGTGGTTCTTGTATTTTTAACTTCTGCCAATTCGGATGGTGAAGTGTGAATTGCCCCGGGGGTATTTTGGATCTCAGCGAGATAAGAAAAGTAGTCATTCCTTAGGCGTTGTCTACATACAGACGTTTCACTGGTTTAACTGAGATCAGAGCCAGTTTGTGTGTAGTCAAAGCATTAGAAAAAAATATCTAGTATGTGCCTCTCACGAGAGGGGAAAAAGAAATCCTTAACCCTTCACTGCTTCCTTATTCCATCGGTATCTTTATACCTTCTAAATTGTACAGAGCAAAATTTAGGTGCTAGACATGTCACTTAACGCAGAACTGGAAGACACTCAAGCCACGTCTACACTGCAAGTGCTACAGCAGCAGAGCTACAGCGCAGTAGCACCGTAGTGTAGATGCTTCCTACTGCCCCAGAAGGGGGGTTTCCATCGCTGTTGTTCGTCCACCTCTCCAAGAGGCAGAATCCTTGATGGCTCTCAGAGGCGTGAGTTTTTCACACCTCTGAGCACCTAACCTACATCAACCTAGCTTTGAAGAGTGGACCAGATATTAGTGATGAGGTCAGCGTTAAGAACCTACGCAGAATGAAATCCTAGAAATGTAGGGCTGGAAGGAACCTCGAGAGGATGCCCCCTCGTGCCGAGACAGGATTAAGGATACCAAGACCATCCCTGGCACGTTTGTCTAACCTGGTCTTAAAAACCTAAAGAATTTATGTGTGTGTATAGAATTCAGCAGGTCTCGAGTCCCGACATCATAATCGTTATGCCAAATTACACACTCCCGTTTAGGGGAGTAGCAAGGATGCAGCCACTTCTCTCTGTCCTTTCAGCTGTGACATGCCCCCTCACCTCTCTGTATCTTTTGAATGGGTAATTGGAGAGAGAATCTCCACCAATGCAGCCGCCTTGTTCCCTGGTTACTTCTTACACAAGCGTGAAACATGCTGGGACGTTTCACCGCAAACCGGCGATGAGTCCGACGTGTAAACTCTTGCGTTTTCCTTTTTTCAGAGCCCCTCGCCCAGCCAGCTGCTGGATGCTAAGTGCCTGGCGAACGAATGAATAAGAAGCTGACCAGAAGGAGGGACTCTTGAGCAACTGCTAAGATGGGCATGAGGATCAAGCTACACAGCACCGATCACCCCAACAACCTGCTGAAGGAACTCAACAAGTGCAGGCTGTCGGAAACCATGTGCGACGTCACCATTGTGGTGGGGAGCCGCTCCTTTGCCGCACACAAAGCGGTGCTGGCCTGTGCAGCCGGCTACTTCCAGAACCTCTTCCTGAACACGGGGCTGGACGCCGCCAGGACCTACGTGGTGGACTTCATCACGCCGGCCAACTTTGAGAAGATCCTGAGCTTCGTCTACACGTCTGAGCTCTTCACGGACCTTATCAACGTGGGCGTCATATACGAGGTGGCGGAGAGGCTGGGCATGGACGATCTGCTCAAGGCCTGTCATTCCACCTTCCCCGACTTGGAGAGCTCAGCTGTTACCAAGCAGCCCTCTGGGTCGGGAGAAGGTCGTTCAGGCCCTTTGGGCGGCACGGCGACAGAACCAAACCATTCCCTGGGTGAACTCCGGAGCAGTGGGGAGCACTTTGGCTCTGAGCGGAATTGCATCTTGCACGGGGAAGTGGCAGGTGGTTACAAAGAGGATGACAGGAATCCCATGAGTGAAGCCGGCCATAACCTGCCTTTGATGCATCAACCACCTCCAAAGACAGAAGAGCAGGAACTGACGGGGCAGTTTGCTTCTGCCACCAACGTGGTGTCTCAACCCAGCCTGGGCAACGTCAACATGGCCGTTCAAACCACTGCAAGTACCTGCCAGCCCTATAAGATCCAGAGCAACGGGGACTTTAGCAAGACCAGCTTTTTCGCAGCTGACACCTCGCTGGACATCTCCACCGGGAGCAACTCCTGCCCCAGCAACAGTGACCATTCCAAAGACCAGGGCTTCGGGCAGATGGATGAGCTGCAGCTGGAGGACCTAGGGGCGGACGAGCTGCACTTCGAAGACGCCAGCGAAGAGCTGGGCCCGGTGGAGGAGGTCATCGAGCTGAGCGACGACAGCGAGGAGGAGCTGGCCTTTGAGAACGACAGCCGGGAGAGCAAGGCCATGCCCTGCCAGGTGTGCAAGAAGGTCCTGGAACCCAACATCCAGCTGATCCGCCAGCATGCGAGGGACCACGTGGACCTGCTCACCGGCAACTGCAAGGTCTGCGAGACCCACTTCCAGGACCGGAATTCCCGGGTCACCCACGTCCTGTCCCACATTGGGATCTTCCTCTTCTCCTGCGACATGTGTGAGACCAAGTTCTTCACCCAATGGCAGCTCACCCTCCACCGGAGAGAGGGCGTGTTCGACAACAACGTCATCGTCCACCCCAGCGACCCACTGCCCATCAAGATCAACCTGTTTGGTGGAGGGCCCGGCTCGGAGCTGGTATGCACCGCCTGCGGGAAGCCACTGGCCAAAGATTTCCACACCGTCCGGGGCCACATCCTGGACCACATGAACTTGAAAGGCCAAACATGTGGCGTGTGCGACCAGCGGCAGCTCAACCTCTGCAGCCTGATGTGGCACACGCTGTCCCACCTGGGCATCTCGGTCTTCTCCTGCTCCATCTGTGCTAACAGCTTCGTGGACCGGCATCTGCTGGAGAAGCACATGGCCGTCCATCAGAGCATGGAAGAGGCTCTCTTCCGGTGCCATTTCTGCAGCCAGAGCTTCAAGCTGGAAGCGGCTTACCGCTACCACGTCAGCCAGCACAAGTGCGGCGGCGGCCTGGACGTGGTCCGGCCCAGCTTCGGAGACCGGCTCCAGCAGCAAGCCCTCCAGAAGAGGAAGCTGCCAGAGGAATTCCTGAGCGAGGACCTGGCCCTGCAGAACCAGCCAGGAAACAGTAAGTACAGCTGCAAGGTCTGCGGGAAGAGGTTTGCCCACACGAGCGAGTTCAACTACCACCGGAGGATCCACACGGGAGAAAAGCCTTACCAGTGCAAAGTGTGTCACAAATTCTTCCGCGGCCGCTCCACCATCAAGTGCCACCTGAAGACGCACTCGGGGGCCCTCATGTACCGATGCACTGTGTGTGGACACTACAGCTCCACCTTAAACCTCATGAGCAAGCACGTCGGTGTCCACAAAGGCAGCCTGCCGCCCGATTTCACCATCGAACAGACGTTCATGTACATAATCCATTCCAAAGACGCGGAGAAAAACACAGACAGCTGATTGGGCGGCGCTGGTGGGATGGGGGAGCAAACACTAATTACAAAGTGGTGACTTTTTTTCCCCCCCCAGTTTTAACGGTCGGACGTTGTGGATGGAATTCTCCTTTTTTTTTTGGCCTTGCCTCAGGATTTTTCTGTCGGCGTCCTTCAAGTTAACAGCACGTGAGGTAAACCAAGACGCCCGTTCTCTTTACTTACCTCCAGTCCCGTTAGAGGCCGCTGAGTTCCGTGGGTTGGCATTTCTTCCCGGGGTTTGGATCTGATAAATGTCGAGCGGGTTAACCCTAGCCTGGCCTCCCGCGGTTTGAGATCACACCTCGATTTATGCTGCTATTACCCTGACAGCCAGCCTCAGAAGAGCCGGGACGGGAAGGTGGTGGACACAGAAACACTAGTTGGTTTTCTTCTAGGCTTTGCTGCTACTGGGAGGAACAAAGCAGAGTCTGGCCTTGGGGGTGGGGGGGCTGGCAGGCAACGGGGGGCGCTCCAGGAGTTCGGCTCGGTGCTTGAAAGGGGGATTAGTGCAACTTCTAGCCGCCCGTCTGAGCCAGGGCCGCAGTTGCCGATTGTTCCCTCCTCCACCCCCACCCCCTCGTACCACTTCTGAAGTTGAAAAGTCACATTTGAGAGCCAGGGAAATGAAGGAGTCCCAGAGCAGCCCAAGCTCAGGGGCAGAGCTTCTTTGGAGAAAAGAGGAGGTCTCTCTCCATAAACTAGGCTAGCTTGTCAGGAGGGAACAATTTACCCCCTCTGCAGAGTCACTGAGCCGGGGAAGCACGTAGCAAACGCGGGCAGAAGGGCTGGTTTCGCCCTTGTTCTCCCCCCTGCCCTCCCACCCAGACCGAAGAGAAATGTTTTTAGCGGAGATCATCCCCTCCAAGTCCTGGGATTCTGCGGCCTGCAGTAGCACGTTAACGATGCCGGGGCACAGATCTGTAGCTCACCCCGCCCTCCCTAAGTCAGTAGCGCAGCAGTCTGGGGGTTGGGGTGTGGAGAGCATCGGACATCCCTGTGCGAATGGTGCTAGGGCCCGTGCAAAGCCCTCTAGGATGAGGGTGAAGAGAAACCGTTGCCTTAACTCCTGGGAAGGTGTCTTTGCAGGAGGAGCGTTCTCCCCGCTACAGGGTTAGCCCCCCCACCCCGCGGTAATGGAACGGCCACCGCGTCTGTGACGTGGTTTCTATCGAAGGACGTAGTCGGTGCCAGCGTAAGTTTGCCCCTTCTGCTTTCACCGTGCCCGCTGGTGGGGTTCGGGGTGGTTTTTCCAGCGTTACTGCCCTGGGGCGGGGAGTGGAAAGGCAGGAAAATGACATATGTAGCAGCCTAGGTGACTCGTACTACCTCATAACCTGGAAGCGCTCGGGGCTTGAAGCCACGGGAACCTGTGGACAGGCTCCTGCACTTCCATACACTCTGAACGCTCTGCCAGCCTCTCCCCACCCAGGGAGCTGCTCTCTGCCACATTGCAGCTGGAATGGGCTGACTTCGCTCGAGGTAGCAGGCTAAAAATACATTGCGGCACTGGCCGTGGCTCAGGCAGGCCCCGGGTCTGAGCTCGGGTGACTAGTTGGAACCGCCACCAGTGCCGCAACATCCACGCTGCTATTTTTAGTGCACCTGGTCGAGCAAAACCATCGGGAGTCTGTCCCCCCGGGCTGGGAGGCTCGGTACCGCTGCAGTGTGGACACCCGCAGAGAAGCGGCGTTGGTCTGGCCTGGGGGCTAGGCGTTCCTCGGTTCGAACCCCACTGCTAACACTAACTTCATTGTGGCCTTGGGCAAGTCGCTTCACCTCAGTTTCCCCATCTGTAAAATGGGGGCGGTAATACTTGTGGTACCTACCTACCTCCCTGGAGCGTGGTGACGATTAACCGGTTAATGTCTGTAAAGCGTGTTGAAGATGAAGAGCACTTATGAGTATTATGTAGCATCCTAGGGAAATGACCCCTCACGTTCCTTTTCGAAACCCCCCCTCTCCGCCCCCCACTCCCAGGTGCAATAACAGCCCTACAGTGTCGTCCTTCTCCGTACTCTGCTCTCTGTTTCTGGGCCCTGGGAAACGAACACTAGTGATAAAGGGTGGGATGAGGAGCGAGCAATAAGCAGAGGCCGCTCGCTTCGCCTAGCGCGCCAGGAGTCGGTTTGCGGGGGGGCCATGATGACTGAGGGTGCCCAAGGGAGGCAGGAGCGTGCGGTCTGAGGGGGCGAGGGCGTTGTGCCGGGAGCCCTGGGGAATGAAGCAAGTTTCTTGCTCATCTCCTGTTGATTAGAGTCAGGCGCGGTACCGATTCCGCCAGTCGGACTTTGCGCTCTAGGGCTGGGGTGGGATCTCCAGGAAGGCAGAATCCCTGGCCGCATTTGGAAGTTCCTGCGTTTTAGCACGGTCGTCAGAATCCCTTCCCGTCTGCAGCTAATGGTGGTTGTTTCAGTGTTGAGGTTTAACGCCCCCATCGGCACGTCCTCAGGGCATGTGAGTGCAGGGGATGGAGACAGAGCCCTGAAGGCATCTGGCTGCGTTCCTCCAGGCAGAGCCAGAGCTCACCCGGGGAACCAACCATAGCTCCGGAGCAGAAGGACCCCTGCTGACCTCTGCCCTGACGTGCGCTTTCAAATACTGCTGCCCCAGTCAAACCGCGTGGCACTGAAAAAAGCCAGTGGTGGCGAGACCATCGTCTGAGATCTGCCCTCCGCGGTCTGTGTCATGCTAACCAGTTTAAGGGGTGCTGTATGCAGACATCCCTGGGAGGCCCCAAGCTTGACCCAGCCCCTGGATAGGGCCCTCCAGGGAAGGTGTTTGAAAGAGGAAGCGGATGTTGAAATGACAGAATTCTAGTTCTTGGTTAAATCTGCCCCGAACTTTGTTAGCACTGGTTGACTTCTGACTTCATGTCGAACTGAACAGGTTAACCCCTGATTGTCGTAGAGGGGGTGTCGGACGCCTTTCCCTGCACCACCTGGTGCTGGCTAAACGGACTGCAGGTCTGAACCAGTCTGGGGTTTGCTACGAAGGGTTTTCAAAGAGGTAAGCAGGCTTGGGTGCAGGCAGCTATCCGGGCATCATTCTGACATGTCCCAGAAGCTGTGTGGAACGCTGCGGGGCCCTGCCCCACGGTTACAGCTCTGCAGACCCGAATCGAAGCAGTGAAGCAAAAGCCTTTGCGGCAAAAAAACCAAAAAAGAGAGAGACGCTTGGACACTGAAACACTAACGGGCAAGCAACACCCTGCCCCAGGTCAGGGGAAGGGAAGGCTGGTGCCTGCCCCTTTGTCATTACTCCGGTCTGTGGCTACGTCTACAGTACGAGCTAGGGGTGTGAGTCCCCCTTTGTGTACACAAACTCATTGAGGTAGCCGTGGAGCCATCTGAAACTGATGGGTATTTCCTTGGCATGGCTAAGGCAGGCTGCCGCTACCCGGGCTTCGATGGCTCCGCAGCTCATAGTGTAGATGTAACCAGTGTGTCGAGGAAGGGGGAGCAGCCCGAGCTCAGATCCCTGCCCACCTCTGTCTTTGGCTCTTCCCTGGGTTATGACCCGTTCACGTTCTCCCTCAAAACACTCCGAGAGCGGCAGCCATTTGACGTGTGTGGTTGTGGAAGTGAAAAAAATTCCGAGTTGCAAAACACTGTCACGAGTTCAGTCCCTTAGTTTCTCCTCCTTGAATTCTCCGAATTGGGATGAGGCCAAAACCTGGGCTCTCCCTCCCGGCCTGGGGATCCAAGGGCAGGATCCAGCCCTCATCCCCCGGAGTGCCCTTCCTCAATATGTGTCAGCCCTAAACTCCATGGGAGTCAAGTGGAACCTTTCTGCTGGCTTTGGTGGGTTTTAGAGCGAGGCCCTAACCCCAGACACGATGACCAATCTGCAACAGGTCCTGGTGTCTTCCCTTGCTTGGTGCCACCATCTTTACCATTCAGTTTTCTGCCTCCCCTTTGTCATGGGGCTACCATTGGGTCTTGCCAGCCAGGCTAGGAGATCAAGCAGTCTTCACGAGCAATGTCCATGCTGCTTTGTGTATCAGGAGGGCAGGATTAGGTGGGGTCCAGAGACAGAAGGAGTCTCTCTCATGGTTTCACTCTGAAACCAGAGCAGGCTGCTCTGATCCCTGGGGCTAGAGTCCAAACTCCGTGTCTCCCACGCCAGACATGTCCTGCTGATGCCCCCGGCTCACAGAGCTGGCTCCAGTGCTGGTTTACTGCCTAACAGTTATTCATGCCCTGGCCCCACTTCAGAAGCAAAACGCTACTTATCGTGGGAAAAGGTAACAGTATTGTCTGGTAGACCATACAGGGGGCTGGGAGAGAGACCCCCTGGGCTCTGTTCCCAGCTTTTCCACTGGCTCCGCGTGTGTTCTTGCTTCAGTTACCCCCCAGTCTGTAAACATGGGGGACACTAAGAAATACCTACCTCACATGGGGGAGGGTGTGAGGTTTCATTCTTGTTTGTAAAGTGCTTTGGGATCCTTGGGGATGAAACAGGGGCTTGTAACAGGACAACATGTTGTCAACGATCCAAGCTGCATTGTAGGGTTCTGTTTAATCCCAGGGGCCTGCCACACTAATGGAGCTTGAAGCAAGCTGCCCATCTCTAACCAAAAGGCAGCGGTGTCCCAATGGAGAACGTAATCTTCTGAGACTGATCTCTGTATTTCTGAAACACAAACGGGGTTTGCTTTCATTCCTCCCCTCTCTCGAAGGATCCAGATCTCTTAAAAAAAAAAAAATGAAGCAGAAAAACGAGTTGTAATTACTGTCTAACCTTTTCATTAAGTTAATAGTAGGTACTGACCTGATATTTAAGTGGTTACTATCTATTTGCTGTAAAGTTTTGTATATTTTGTAAACTTTTCCCGCCACCCAAAATAGTAGATGTCTAAAATCGTTGTACATCGGATTCTTTTATACTTCATCATCCAGCACAAAGTGTGGTTTTTATTTAGAATAATAAAATGGAAAACAGCCACCGCTTGCGCTTTGCGTCTTTTTGTTTATCAGTTTTAATCTGCAGGTGGAAGTTCGGGCCTTTCTGGTCAAGCACTGCGTGGGTCCCACACCTGATTCTCAGTTACCCCTTTCCTGGGCCCAGGGCAGAGGCAGAGGTCAAGGATCACAGGTAATTCTGCTGCACTCTGCCTGGCCTTAGGGCTGTTCTAAATTAAACTCTGCTTCCAATATCATCTGGGGAGCAGAGAATGGCCATGGTGCAGTATAGTCTGGTCATCCCCCAATTCATCCCCTATGCCAAGGGCCCTTCCATCAGCTCTATATTGCCCCGGGGGGATTCTCAAGGAGTCATTTATACCTGCGTTTAGGCCCCTATGTGCTGCCAGAGTTACTGTCATTGTAAATCAGGCCCAGACAGCCTGCTGGTTTTCTTCCCGTTGGCAAACCAAACTAACGAGCGGATGATGCTGGTCTTTTCAAGAGGCACATTCCTTTCTCTAGGGACAAGTCTGCCTTCTCGGTTCAGGGATAGAACGAACTGGTTGTTCAGCTGATGCAAACAAATGAGGCAGCCGTTCCCCGAGAGAGTCGTCTCGAGTGCTTCTTGGAGAAAACCCAGGCGTTCGTCTTCTCTGTGGAAGGGCTGCCGTGTGTGGGAGACAATGAGCCGAAAGTCAATTGGCTTCGCTCTAGCACGCCTGCCAGTTAAATAGATTCAGACGTCAGGGAGGACGGGCAAGCTCTTTGCCGCCTCTTCTCACTAACCCAGACCCGTTCCGTAAAACTGCGGGAGAGATGGTGCTGGAGCTGCGCCAGGGAGCTTTGGGAGACATGCCAGAGACGCTACAGGGATTTCTCTATTGCTGCTGATTTTACGTGGAATCCACCCAGATGCTACGGGGATGGGCGGCAGTATGACGCCCTACATGGATAGATCTGGATTCATTTCCCATCTCCGTCACAAACTGCACATGTGACATCAGGCAAGCCACTTTCTCTTACCTCAGACCCCAACCTGGAAAATGGGGGTGATCATTAGACTTGTCTGTCCTTTGATGGTTTAATCATAGAATATCAGGGTTGGAAGGGACCTCGGGAGGTCATCTAGTCCAACCAATCCCCAGCTAAATCATCCCAGCCAGGGCTTTGTCAAGCCTGACCTTAAAAACCTCTAAGGAAGGAGATTCCACCACCTCCCTAGGTAACCCCTTCCAGTGCTTCACCACCCTCCTAGTGAAAAAGTTTTTCCTAATATCCAACCTAAACCTCCCCCACTGCAACTTGAGACCATTGCTCCTTGTTCTGTCACCTGGTACCACTGAGAACAGTCTAGAGCCATCCTCTTTGGATCCCCCCTTCAGGTAGTTGAAGGCTGCTATCAAATCCCCCCTCATTCTTCTCTTCTGCAGACTAAACAATCCCAGTTCCCTCAGCCTCTCCTCATAAGTCATGTGCTCCAGCCCCTGATTATTTCCGTTGCCCTCCACTGGACTCTCTCCAATTTGTCCACATCCCTTCTGCAGTGTGGGGCCCAAAACTGGACACAGTACTCCAGATGAGGCCTCACCAGTGCTGAACAGAGGGGAACGATCCCGTCCCTCGATCTGCTGGCAATGCTCCTACTTCTACATTGAAAGCTCTTTGGAACAGAAGAGCTGTGGCTCACTACCTGTACAGTTCCCTGACTATCCCAGCTGGCACCTCCAGGTGCTCCCGTCATGTAAGTAATGAACAGTCATTATAAAGCTGGGATACCGCTGGGCCACCTGTCCCAGCCCAGATTGTCTGTGTGCTTGAAGTGATGAGCTGGGATGGCCCAAACCACATGTGTTTATTGGCGCCGGCCGTCTGCATTTATTAATGGCTTTTCTAGCACATGTATTAGCAAGCCGTGCCTGTGCGAAGGAAAATATCCCGACGATATTGCCGTGTTGGAGAGTTTTCATGACTTTTGAATTCTCCATCACCCTATATTTAAAATGTTTGATGACCCACCGCGGTAGCATCGTAAGTAAGATGTTCGGGAAACTTGCCGTTCTTTGGGAACGTTTTCAGTCAGTTTCACGCCGTGCTTCGCGTAGACTGAGGATCATAAACGGCTGGAAAATATATATTGCTCTAGATCTGGAAAACAGCGTTCCTGTCCCTTTCCAAAGCATCTGGGGGAGAGGGCTAGCTCAGTGGTTTGAGCTAAACCCAGGGTTGTGAATTCAATCCTTGAGGGGGCCATTTAGGGATCTGGGGCAAAAATCTGTCTGGGGATTGGTCCTGCTTTGAGCAGGGGGTTGGACTAGATACCTCCTGAGGTCCCTTCCAACCTGGATATTCTATGAATGGCTCTGTGTCTCATTAGTACACCTCTACCCCAATATAACGCTGTCCTCGGGAGCCAAAAACATCTTACCGCGTTCTATCGAACTTGCTTTGATCCGCCGGAGTGCGCAGCCCCGCCCCCCGGAGCACGGCTTTACCGTGTTCTATCCGAATTCGTGTTCTATTGGGGGAGAGGTGTATTTAGCCACCTACGGCACTTAGGTGCTTTTTAAATTTTGCCCAATGCCTCTTGTTGCTCAGACCCACCGTTTAAAACGTTTCTTGGGCTGGGTGAAATTCCTTAGCAGCGATGGGCGAGGTTTGGCTCCGCTCGCCACGTCTGTGGTGTGAAACGAACGGGCGGCGGGTTTAAAACAAACCCAAGGAAGTATTTCTTCACCCAACGCACGGTCACCCTGTGGCGCTCGTTGCCAGGGGATGCTGTGAAGGGCAAAGGTGTAGCTGGGTGCAAAAAAGAATGAGCGGAGTTCACAGAGGATAGGGCAGGGGTGGGGTGGGCAAACTTTTTGGCCCGAGGGCCACATCAGGGTTCCGAAACTGTATGGAGGGCCTGGTAAGGAAGACTGTGCCTCCCCAAACAGCCTGTCCCCCACCCCCTATCCGCCCCCTCCCACTTCCCGCCCCCTGACTGCCCCCCACAGAACCCACCACTCATCCAATCCCCCCTGACTGCCCCCTCCTGGAACCCCTGCCCCTAACCGCCCCCCTATGGGACCCCACCCCCTATCCAACCCGCCCTGCTCCCTGTCCCCTATCCACACCCCTACCCCCTGACAGGCCCCCCAGGACTGCCACGCCTATCTAACCCCCCCCCCCGTTCCCCATCCCCTGACCATTCCACCCCCAGAACCTCTGCCCCATGCAACCGCCCCCTGCTCCCTGTCCCCTGACTGCCCCCCAGGACTCCCCGCCCCTTATCCAACCCCCCCGCTCCCTGCCCCCGACCCCACCCCTGGAACCTCCGCCCCATCCAACCGTCCCCTGTCCCCTGTCTGCCCCCGGGACCCCTGCCCCTTATCCAACCCTCTCACTCCCCGCCCCCTTACCATGCCGCTCAGAACAGCATGTCTGGCAGCTGCCGGGCCGGAGTCAGCCACACCGCCGCGCTGCCCGGCAGGAGCTCGCAGCCCCACTGCCCAGAGCGCTGGCGGCACGGCGAGCTGAGGCTCGGGGAGAGGGGGGACAGCAGGGGAGGGGCCAGGGGCTAGCCTCCCCGGCCAGGAGCTCAAGGGCCAGGCAGGATGGTCCTGCGGGCCGGATGTGGCCCATGGGCAGTAGTTTGCTCACCTCTGGGATAGGGCCATCAAGGGCTGTTCGCCAACATGGCAAGGGACGCAACCTGGGATTTGGGGAAGACAGGTTCAGTTCCCTGTGTACCCTTGGGCATTACAGTAAAACTTTGAAAGGAGCCAAAGTCCCATTTTCAGAGAGGGATTTAGGAGCCTAAGTCTTATTGAACAGCAGTAGAATTTAGGCTCCCAAATCACCTAGACACTTCTGAAAATTAGTTTTTCTGTCCCTCTGTTTCCCATCTGTAATAATCCTTCCTTACCTCCCAGGACTGTGGCGAGGATAAATATATGTAAGACTGTTCAGCTATTATCATAATGAGGATCTTGTAAGTACCTAAGATCGGTAGCTCTGTCTTAGCGGTGATACTCAGACTGAGACATGCAAGCCACAAGCGGCTCTTTAATGCGTCTCCTGCGGCTCTTTGCAGCGCATGATATTAAACCACGGTGTGATTTAATTATTAACCAATCTAAGTCATTAACCAATTAGGATGCTTTTACTATGTTATTAACCAGCTGCCGTTGATAAAAGAATAGTACCTGGTCAGTCATTTTGCAGTGAGACGCGCGTGCGTGCGTGCGTGTGCGTGTGTATCTATACACACACTAAATATTGCCTGTCACACTGTTTAACTATGACTATATAATACAATAGTAAATGAAACAATGAATCCACACTGCGGTGGCTCTTGTGGGGAATGTTGGTCGCTAATTTGGCTCCTTGAACCCCTGGGGGCTGAATCTCTCTGCTCTATAGTATTTCTAATGCACCCCCCTCAATGATATTTCAGTGCTAAGGAAGGTAAAGAGGTGACTTGCTTGTGGTTTTTAAGTGCCTACGTCGGGAGAAGAGATCCGATAGCAGAGGGCTCTTTAATCTATCAGGCAAAGCTCCAATGGCTAGAAGTTGAAACCAGACAAATTTACACGAGAAATTCCGCGTTTTTTAACTCTGAAGGTAATTAACGGTTGGAGCAGCTCACCAAGTGATGTGGCGTTTTCTCCATCACTGGAAATCTTTCACTCAAGCCTGGCTGCCGTTCTAAAAGATGCTGCCTAGTTCCTCCTTGTGTTATTGGCTCCAACGCAGGGGTCACCGGGTAAAATTCTCCTGCCTGTGTTGTGCAGGAGTCAGACAAGATGATCCCTTCTGGCTTTAATATCTCGGAATCGTGGCATACAAAGTCATCCATGCAACAGAGCCGTGTTTTTAAAAATGAAGTTTAATAGGTCAGATATAAAGAGCTTTAAATGTTTAGGTATCATGAAGAAATTGGATACATTTCTACCAGGCAGAGCGGGTCTGTCACACACTATCATGCAGTGGTCTTCCATTTCTTTAGCAAAGCTGACAGTCAAAGGCGCGTCTATGAACCGTTCCTGGGGAGCTCAGGACTGGCTCTCTGACCCTCACCATTGATGAGCGGCTGCCATCCTGTTAACATGTCCGTGGTGGTGGTAATAATCTGGATTACCACAGCACGGAATTACATAGCCTAGCTCCACGCGTGGGCCGGGAGTGACCTGTATCAGGTGTTGTGCAAACGCAGAAGTGTCTGCCCCGAAGAGCCGACAGTCTGTGCTGCTGTTTTACACTGTACAAGTTGTTAAACTTTGCACAACAGGAGGAGCGGAACGGGCACAAGTTGCTTCTCTTTAAAGGGTCGGTGCCTTTTCCCGTAGCTGTTGCATGCAAGGCCTTGGTGGAGATGAATGGGCGCGTTTTGCAGGCAAATACGGATATACGTAGGCAGCAAGGGGTGGGCTGGAAGCCAGCGAAAGGCCCGCCGGGAGTGAGAATGGTACTGGATTGGCTGGTTGTGGGTCTGGCCTGTTGCCGTTTGGGAGAGCAGATTCCTGGTCCCCGGGCCGGGGACAGAGGAGCAGGAGTGACCCACGTCCCTTTGCGGGACCGCTAAAGAGCAGCATGGAGGCATGCCCAGGGGAGCGCTGAGCGGGGGGAACGTGGCTCGTACAGTTCCAGAAGGGGATACAGACGCCGCCGTCGTTCTGATCTGTCGCAATGTCGTGAAATGTCACATGGTCTGTTTCACGTGGGGTGTGGGGGGGGGGGGGAGGGTGGGCGAGAGACCAGTAAATTTCCACTGCAATTAAAAAAAAGAAATCCCCTCCTGATGAGGCTAATTATTCGCTATGGAAACCCCTTCATCTTGCAAATCCACAGGCCCCTGCCCTTTGCCTCCCAGGTGAACAAGGCGGCAAAGGGACAGGGAATGAATGCAGTGCACTTCCTCCGAGAAGCAGGGCTGGTCCCACCCACTTCTCTTGTCTGCTCTGATTCGTTCCTTCAACCCCTGGGCAGGGCGGTCCCTAGGGGAGTGTGGGGCCTGGGACAAATCAGCCTGTATGGACCCCCCTTAACGTTGTTTATACAGGTGAAGTCTGGTGTGGGGAGGGGACACCAGTGCTGGGGGGCGAGGGACGATGGAGAGTTCCAGGCACCTGTACTAGGGGCGAGGGAGCCGCCTGTGCTGGGGGGTCCCGGAAAAGAGGGGGGTCCAGGGCGGAAGGGCAGTGGATGGCAGCATGAGGACGCTGGCGGCTGGTGCGGCGGTGGCAGGTGACACCGGGAGCTGGCGAGGCTGGGGTTGCCGCTGCCCGAGACTGAGCCCAAGCCCCGTGATGCCGAGCAAGAAAACGAAATGCACCGCTCGCTTCCAGCCAGTGAGTGCGAGTCCGACCCCCGCTGCCGGCACCAAGCCCCCTGAACCCCTAACCACACCCCCCGGGCCGGCCTGGCGACCCCCGCACGACACATGCACACTGAAGCACAGGGCCCCCCAAAGCGCGGGGCCCGGAGCGGTCGCCCCGATTCGCCATACCCAAGGGACGGCTCTGCCTCTGGGAACATCCTGCCATCAGCCTCTTCTTTCCTTGACCTAAGCACCCTTTCCCCAGATCCTGTCCAATTGGTTTTTCCGTATTTGTAACAGTCCAAGGCTGTGGATCGGTTGGTTCTTTGTGATTTATTAATTCCCAGTTACCTTCACGCCTTCCCCTCCCCACGTGCTTTAGCCGAATTCACTCAGGGCTGAACAGAGCTCTCCCGCTGGCCTCGTTAAACCACCCCCAACGAGGGGCCTTAGCGATGTTGGAAGCAGAGCCTCTCCTGCCAACCCAGCGCTGTCCACACCATCACTTTTGTCGGGGAAACTTATGTCAGTCGGGGTGTGTGTGTGTTTTTTTCACACTTCTGACCGACAAAAGTGGTAATGTAGACAAAGCCTTCGGGAAACACGTCTGTACAGTGGACTGCGGCCTTAATCCTCCCTGCTTCTTTCCCTCTGTGGTTGCAATATTGCTCTCCAAAAGCCGTTTCCTATTGGCGCCAACATGCTCTTCCCCTGCTTCGTGCTGAGTGGCTCCCACTCCCTTTGGCTTCACCTTGCGAGGTCAGCCCCTCCTCTTTCTCGCCAGGGGCTGCGAATTGATCAATTTGTGTTCCGAAGGAAAAGAATTCCACCCCTTTTTTCTGAGCTAGATGGTTCAATGAAAGAGGCGGCTTAACGCCTGGTCTCTTCCAGGTGTGGGAAACCCGGAGCACATCGGCAAGCAAAAGGCAGGCGTCGCGGAAAAGCTGGTGGCAAAACGTTGCTTGTTCCAACTCCTGCTTAGCTGGCGCTGGAGAGCAAAGCGGCCGGATTTGCGTTGAGGTCCCTGGGTAGCCAGAATAATCGCTAGTAATAAACCAATGAGCATTTCTTTGAAAAATAGGACATCTCTTCCTCTCTGTTTCTTTAGCTAAATAGATTTGATACAGGAGCACGTCAGAGGCAAAACATCTGCCGCTCCCCACAGCATCTCATTTCTACCCTCCCTCCAGCTTTCAGAGCCGTGGGTGGCAAGGAGAAAACGCCATCAAAAAGCAAAGTGTCTTGCCTTATTGCCGGGGGAAGAAATCTTTTGGGGGGTCTGATTTAGGAAGCCGGCCACCCCTGGGACCAGCTGCCAGCAATGGGTGGAGAGCCCGGTGGCTGTTTAATTAGGTGGGATGTTGTCTTTGGTAATGACTATAGAGTGCTGGGTGCTGGAAGAGGAATTGTCCCCGCCTTTCTGGTTGATTTGGTCTTTGGGGATGTACTTCACCACAGCCGAGATGAGTTTGCCGCGGAAGTTCTTGCTCAGGAAGTTGTAGAGGATGGGGTTGGCCACGCAATGGAACATGCTGAAACAGTCTATGATGTCGTAGAAGAAGTAGAGGAAGTTGGCAACGTTGCAGCTGTAAATGAAGTGGCTACCGTCGAGGGTCAGGAGGGTCAACGTGACGTGGTAGGGCAGCCAGCATACTAGGAACACGACGATGTAGGCGTAGATCAGGAGGCAGTGCTTCCTGCTTTCCGGCTTGGAGTGCTTGATGTACCTGGCCGTCAGTATGTTAAAGACCGCGATGATGGAGAAGGGGATGAGGAACCCAATGATGGTGGTGGCTAAGCTGATGCCCAGGGCCCACTCATCATAGGTCTCGAAGGGGGCCAGGAAGATGCACATGGGCTCCACCGAGTCCACCAGCTGTGTGTGGGCCACCTCCAGGAAGGGGAGGAGGGCGGCGAAGACCCAGATGCCGAAGCAGAGGAGGCGGCGTGCCCGGTGCTGATGCTGGTGCCAGAAGTGGGATGCCGTTGTCAAGGAGACGTAGCGGTCCACGCTGAGGCAGCTCAGGAAGAAGATACTGCTGTACATGTTGGCGAAGTAGAAGTAGTGGGTGAAGCGGCACAGGAAGCTGCCCCAGAGCCAGGTGTAGTCGAGCATGGCCTCCAGCATCCAGATGGGCAGGGATAACAGCACCCCTAAGTCGGCGATGGCCATGTTGAGGATATAGAGGTTGACCAGGTTTTTGTTGCCCCAGGTGTGCCAGTTGACCCAGATGACGAGAATGTTTTCCACCAGCCCCACCACGAAGATGACCAAGTAGAGGATGAAGAGCATCACCCGCTTGATGTTCTCGTCCAGATGGGTGTCGCAGAAGGTGAAGGTGTAGTTCAGGTATTGGAGCAGCTGGGTCCAGTTGTGGTAGTCCCCGAACTCATTAAAGGGATCCGGCGTCTCAGCGGGGACCGTGGTCACCTCAGCCATTGTGGATGGTGAGCGGCTGGAAAGAAAGGGAAGGCGATTTAACTGCTGGGGTTTGGCCGCAGCACGACAAGTAGGGACATGCTGTGGGGATCCTTTCCAAAGCCCTCTCTGGATCCCCAGAGCTCATCCCCTCCCCCCCCACAAAGACACAAGCCCAGACACACACACACACACACACACACACGTGCCCATATACACACGACAACCCTCCTCCATACACACATCCCCCACAAGCAGCAATGTTTGCTTTGAAGAGCAGATCAGCCAACCTCTCCTGCTGTCCCCACTCAGCTGAATTGTCTCCCGCAGAGAAGAACACTCTTGTGATTACGGTACTGGGCCAGGGCGAAGGATATCTAGGTTCTGCCCCCAATAGACTCACTATTGATACATCTACACTGCAATAAATGACCCACCGCACAACCGCGGCTGGCCTGGGTCAACTGACTCAGGCTTGTGGGGCTCAGGATGTGGGGCTAAACATTTCAGTGGAGGCCCTGGGGCTGGGGTTGGAGCCTGGGCTCTGAAACCCCATGAAGGGACGGGTCTCGCAGCCCCAGCTTCAGCCGGAGCACAAACGTCTACACTGCTGTTTTTAGCCCCACAGCTCAAGCCCCAGAAGCCCGAGTCAGTTGACCCCAGGCTCTGAGACTTGGTCCTACTTTTTATTGCAGGGTAGATGTACCCTATGAGACTTTGAGCAAGTCACTCGTGGGCAGTTTTTCAAGCGAGCTCAGCAAATTCCGTTTACTTTATCAAAGAGAAGATCCAGAAGTGACTGTGTCTAGGTACCTTCCCGGGGACAAAATCTGGTGTTAGTCTCTAAGGTGCCACAAGTACTCCTGTTCTTTTTGCGGATACAGACTAACACGTAACAGGGTGAGATTCTCAAAGGAGCACGTCTCCCATTTCGGCGTCTAAACGAATGGCCAGATTTACAGAGGAGCTCGGCATTTGGGTTCAGAGCACTTGACTCTCCAGTCATCAGTGTCACAGTGGTTGCTGCTGGGTTCTGAGTCTCGCTTAAATGTAAGAAAAAATGTGGAGATGCTGCTGCTAAACCTGTGGCTGGAAACTGGGTGACAATTTTCTGACCTCGTGTTTCCCTCTGCCTCACCCACTGTTGCTACTGCTTCTCTGCAGCTGGGGAGAAACCAGCATCAAGCTCTGTTAAAAAGCCTTCATTTCACGCACAGTCCATGCTGCAAAAAAGGGTTTCATCTCTCACCCTCCAAGCTGCTGCGCTGAGCAAAATGGGACAGCGTGGAAACCGAGAGAACTGAAACTGACCCTCCCCCTACGGCAAACTCGAGTCGTTCTTGGGGCTAACGTGCCAGCAATTGTCGCTTTGCAAAAATGAGACGGGACTTTGCCAGCCTCCGATTTGAAACCGATCCTGGCGAAGAGACCAAGTCATCACAAGCCAGCCACAGTTGGAAAACTGCTCCCTGCTCAGAGCAAGTTCCTCGCTTCAGCACCGCAGCTAGGTCTAAGGGAGTCGAAATCCGCAGCCAGTGAACTGGGTGGGCAGAGGCACCGTGTGGTGAGGAACGCGGCGTGAACACGATCATCTGCAGCCCCAGCGTTTGTTCCCGAGTCTAAACTGAAACCGTGGGAGCCTCCTCGCTGTGAATTCACACGGAGGTGCTATCCCCAGCCTCTGAGTCTGGTAAGAGTTAGGTGCTGTTCTTATTACTTACTCTATTCTCATGTCTCCTTCCCAGGCAAACATGCCCTCCGCCCAATGGAAACCCCGCAGCATATGCAGGAAAATGATTTCCACTAATATTAGCCCAAACCCGTAGCCAATCTCAGTGCTGTCAACCAGGGGTACGCAGAGTCTTCCAGGGGGTACATCACCTCATCTAGAGATTTGCCTAGTTTTACCACAGGCTACAGAAAAAGCACCAGCGAAGTCAGGACAAACTACAATTTCCTACAGACAATGACTTGGTTAGACTGCTCTGTACGCTAGACACTGAAATGTCAGGACAATGTTCATAGTCCAGTGGAGTTATTTGATAATTATACGGTAAAAATGAGCCATTTTTCAGTAATAGTGTGGCTGTGAGACTCGTATTTTTATATCTGATTTTGTAAGCAAGTCGTTTTTAAGCAGAGAGAAGCAATTGACCGTCACATCACACTACCTCCAGAACTGCCGACTTATCCAAATCCCAGAGCGGCTGGGTCCACACACGGCGTGACCCAGGTCTCAGCGTGATGCCGTCGGAAGAACACGCAAGGTGAGAGGTTCTCCGGGTAAAGCTTACAGAACATGCTAGTCTAGCTAGGTATTTATAGTGCCCTTCTCACCGTGAGCTCAGGAATTCAGGCAGCGGGGGGAAGCCGCAGGCAACCCAGAGCTTCAGCGTGGTAGCCGTGTTAGTCTGTATCAGCAAAAACAACGAGGAGTCCTTGTGGCACCTTAGAGACTAACAACTTTATTTGGGCATAAGCTTTCGTAGGCTTGAGCCCACTTAGGGTGACCAGATGTCCCGTTTTTTAAAGGGACAGTCCTGTTTTTTGGGACTTTTTCTTATATAGGCGCCTATTACCCCCACCCCCTGCCCCGTTTTTTCACAGTTGCTATCTGGTAACCCTAAGCCCAATTCATCAGATGCATGAAGTGAAAAATACAGGAGCGGGTATAAATACATGAAAGGACGGGGGTTGCTTTACCAAGGGTGAGGTCAGTCAGTGAAGGAGAACACTTCAGTCTCTCTGGTCACTCAATAACAGACCTAAAAGTGGCAATTCTTCAATAACAAAAACTTCAAGGGCAGACTCCAACGTGAAACTGCAGAACTGGAATTAATTTGCAAACTAGATACCATCAGGTTAGGCCTAAATAAAGACTGGGAGTGGTTGGGTCATTACAAAACCTAAACTTAATTTCCCCATTACTAATTTCTCCCTACTATTACTCACACCTTCTTGTCAACTGTCTGTAACGGGCCACTCTCTTACCCCTTGAAACGTGATTTTTCCTCCCTTGGTATCCTGCTGTTCATTGATTTATCTCGTAAACTTGACCTCACACTTGGTAAAGCAACCCCCAGCCTTTCATGTATTTATACCTGCTCCTGTATGTTTCGCTTCATGCATCTGATGAAGTGGGCTCTAGCCCACGAAAGCTTATGTTAGTCTCTAAGGTGCCACAAGGACTCCTCGTTGTTTTTGCAACCCAGAGGAATGCTCGGCAACTTGGTAGTCAGCTGCAAAAGCATCCATCAATGCAGCAGGAGGAGGACGGGGCTTGGTTGCTCTTTTCAGAAAGTTTGGAGAAAGGAAAAGAAAGATATCTGGGGGGACTCATGCCTGCGGAAATCTAACCCCATTAACAGAGGTGGTTTGACGTGCAACCCTCCTTTGGGCGCAGGGCGGTTGTTACTGGAAAGCCTGGCGCTTTGAATACGGGGGGGAGGCGAGAGACAGGTGGAAAGTAACAGGTACATGCTCACCTGGAGTGGAAGGCTGAAGGTGTGCCCGGGTGGGTGGCAAAGGAGCAGCTGGTGCCTCCAGCTCTGTGGCTCGGGCGGATCTATGCTGTAGGGACCGTCGTTCCCAGAGTGAGCTCAGGGTGGGCTCGCTGGCTTCTTCCACACACATGCCCCCACCCCTCGGAGCTCTCTTCCCTACAGGAAACGTACATCATCTCCTGATATCCTGAAAACAGCCCAGCGCAAGGCCACATTGGACGTGATTCCTAATCCCTAGGGTCTGGAATGACGATGGGTTTGGTTTCACGGCAGAGCTGGGGGGCGGGAGGGGAGGAAGATTTTGGGGAAGGGTCAGATAGGACATGAGAGTGGGGTAGGCCGCCAGTGGGCGCATCTTTTCCAGGTTAATTTCCTTTTCCTCACAGAGCGAGGCTCCAAAATCCACGGCCTGCCCCACTCAGACCCCCAACCAGCTTTTGCCTGTCCTGTTTGCTGAGCCGGAGCCCACCCGATTATTACTTAGAGTGCAGCAGGGCTCGCAGCGGCTTAGCCATGTCCAGGCAGGGAGGAAAGCTGGCCTTCCTGGCTCTGGGTTAATCTGTGCCAGTGAATCAAGATGGGTTATGGCAGAGATGTTACTGACCCCTGCCTAAGGCCCCCCACTAGCTCCCGGAGTCGTGGGATGACGTCAGACCCTCAGCTTTCTTTTTTTTTTTTTATTTTTTCCCCCCCCCCCCCCCCCCCCCGGTTGCAATGAAAATCTCAGTGCTGTCACCTGCCAGTAACCATTGCCTGAGTGTGCAGAGAGCCTGCGACAGTAGCGCTGAGGGGCAGGGTCTACCCCATGTAGCTCAGTGGGGCGTTACTTCTAAGACCCACTTCTCTGGGCCAGAGATGGGGGTGTGTGCCAAGGCTACACCTGGGGAGGGAGAAGGCGGTCCCATGCCTCTCTGTGTTGGGAGGAAGGAACCCCGATCACTGCCACACCAAGTGGGAGTGGGGATGGGGGGCCTATAGCATTGTGTCTATAGGGGCCCAGATAGAGTTTGATCCATGGCTGGAATAAAGGAATCTGGGTCTGTCTAGTCCTTCCCCACAGTAATAGCTAAGCCCCCCCCCCCCGAGCATTCTTTAATGTATCCCGAAACAAATCGGCCCCCCGCATGAGGAGGGGAAGCAGCATCCGCACATGGCGGTCGCCAGTCAGCTTAGTAGCGCCAGAATCCTGCTGAGGAATCCCAGGGACATGGCTGCAGAAGCTGGCAGAACGGCCCCAAGGCCAGCCCTGGTGAGTGACTCCTTCCCAGTAACTCAGTCTGGGAACATTGGCACAGCACCTTTCTGCCAAAGGGTCTTGAAAATGTTACTAAGCAGTGGCCTTGCTTGGGTGTGCAGAGACCTTACAGCTCCGATCGCTTCCTCCACCGCTAATGCAGCCTTCTCTGGGGCACAACGCAGCCTGGGCCACGTGACTGTTTAGGACAGAAAGCGGAGAATAAACTACCCAGTTAAAAGTTTGCGGGACTATCGCTGTGTGTTTGTGGAGCCAACGGGAGGCCCCCTTCTCAGCTG